CTCCGTAGTCACAAGGATGACGATGAGGACTACTTCCAGATTAGTTTGGAAGGTTCTCATGTTGGGTCCTACCGTCGGAGTAGTTGTTTCTCTGCTTTTTCCTCCCCGCGCGACAGCCAACAATGAGGAAACCGCATCGAGCCGCCCGACACACGCGATCAGGGAGGTAAACCTCTCCAAGCGCGCAGGGGGGGGAGGGACCGAGGGAGGAGGGAGGGAGGGAGGGAAGGAGGGAGGGAGGGAGGACGAAGAGGAGGAGGAGGAGGAGGAGGAGGAGGAGGAGGAGGAGGAGGAGGAGGAGGAGGAGTCGAGCGTGCCGAGGAGGAGGAGGAGGAGGAGGAGGAGGAGGAGGAGGAGGAGGATGAGGAGGAGGAAGAGACCAGGAGTGCAGGGACAGGGACAGTGCTTGTGTCTGCTTGCTTGCGCAGTGCATCTTGAATGCGTCTCAGGAGGAAGAGGAGGGGGCCAGAGTCAGCATGAGGTCGGCAGCTCCTTGCCTACCTCGCAGACGCCACGCGCTGGCGGGCGCGGGCGACGACGCGGGCAGCTCGACGGCCGCACGGGGGAGATCCGTCGCGGCCCGCGCGGCGCGGGCGCATCCAAAACTGGTGCTGTCAGACACTACCCTGGGCAGACCGCGGGCCCTGACCACATCCGGGTGCCTGTGGAGGTGGTACCGCATCACTAGAAGACGAGGCGCGTCCTTGCAGTGGCCAACGATGGCCAGCCGCGCTGGCATGTCCGAGGGGACCGAAGATCCAAAGGCCCGGAGCGAAGCAATGGTGCAGACAGTCGGGGGCCCCGCGGAAATCCCAGGAGACACCCTTGTCGGGGATTCCTGAGGGGAGTTGCCCGTAACCCAGCCTTCCCGTCCAGGCTTTAAAACAGAGCCCAGCGCCATGCAGGGGGGAGGCAGGCGAGGCAGGACCGAAGCGAATCGAGGCCGAGAGGGGCGAGGGAGCTCGGGGAAAGCAACAACCCTCTCGTGGAGCGCCGGCGCACTCTCGCTGCCGTGGCCGAGCGCCGCCCAGGCCGCGCGAGGGCGCGCGTCGGCGCGGCTCGAAGGCGGGGCCTCTGCCCCTCGCGGCGCCGCTCTCCGGCCTCCTCCACCGCCGCCGCAGCCAGGGCCTACGCCGACGAGCCCAGGCGGCTCGCTGCAGCCTCCAGAGTGCAGTCGGGGCGTTGACCTAAGGAGCCCAAAATAAGGAACGAGGCCTCTTTTTCTCCATAAGTTCAACTCCGACTTCCCATCGAAGACATCAGGGAAACCTGAGGCAAGCTGTGCAACACTTCAGGAACGCGGAGCCCCTCCCCAACCAAAAGGGTTCCTTCTTCAGGGCCCCGACTGTATCAGGGGGGAGGGAGCGCTCCTCCCAAGGGCGCGGCCAAGCGATGCCGTGGCCGAGAGCCTCAAGCGAGAGGCACCGCGCCGCCGTTTCGCGGAGGGCCCGCGCCATCTCGCGCCAGGGCCCCGAAGTCTCCGCGGCGGTGCGCGCGCGGGCCGCCGCGCAGAGGTCCGCCAGCAGGCGCAGCGGGGTCGGAGCGAAGCAGTCCAGGGCCGAGCAGTCCAGGAGGCCAAGCCGGCTGCCCGGGGCCCGTAGGAGCCTGCAGAGCACGAGGTGCTCGGCTTTGGGCAGGCGCCTCGGCAGCGGGATGAGCTGCGCCTGGTGCGAGGCCACCGACGAGGCCCTCTCGTGGTAGACCTGTAAGGCCGTCTGCGCGTCGTGGGGTGCGCTCGCGATCTGGCGGTTGCGCCTTTCCCACTTCTCCAGCGCGGGCCCCCAATGAAGGGCTGCCCAGGCGGCCGGGCCCGGGAGGAACCCGAGCGCTTTCGCGTGCGGGACAACGCGGAAGAGCTGCCGCCGCTCGGAGATGGAGCCGAGGGGATCAGGCGCGTTTCCTCTCCTACGCCTCCTCCGAGAAAGGTGCCCAGAGGGGGGCGCAGACGCACCTCTCCTCCTGCAGGATCAGGTTGGCCAGCAACGCCGATGCCTTCATGATCCGCCCGACCACGCGGAGGCCAACCTGCTGGGAGGGGGAGGGGGAGGGGGAGGGGGAGGAGGAGGAGGAGGAGGAGGAGGAGGAGGAGGAGGAGGAGGAGGAGGAGGAGGAGGAGGCCAGCAACGCCGATGCCCTCATGATCCGCCCGACCGCGCGGAGGCCAACCTGCTGGAGCGCAGTCGTGAAGAGGTCGTCCGCGCACCAGCGGCCGAGCCCCCGCGGCGCCGCCAACTCCGAGTGCCTCGCCACGTCCTGGCAAAAACGGGTGCTCGCCCGCCGCGTACAGTCGGGGCCCTGAAGAAGGAACCCTTTTCGTTGGGGAGGGGCTCCGCGTTCCTTAAGTGTCTCGCAGCCAACCTCAGGTTTTCCTTATGTTTTCGATCGGACATCGAAGTTTAACTTATGGAAAAAGGGGCCTCGTTCCTTATTTTGGGTTCCTTAGGTCAAGGCCCCGACTGTATAGAGACCCCGAGGCAGGGTCGCCTTGCCTGACCCCTCCGCGCACGCGGAAGAGCTCCACTCGCCGCGGACCCGAGTCCA